GCCTTCATCCTCGGCTCCACTAACCCCAAGCTCCAGCCCCTCAACGACCTCATGGTTGCCGCTGAGCAGAGCGGTAAGCGCGGTGACGAGCTCCAACGCATCGAGGACGAGTGGATCGCTGCCGCTGGCCTTAAGCGCTTCGACGATGCCGTCATCGACGCTATCAACGCTGGATCTCACGCCAACGCCTCCAAGATCAAGAGCCAGTACCTCGCTCAGGCGAAGGGCAAGAGCAACCTCGAGTCTCGCGCCATTGCCCGCGGTCTTGGTGTTGAGGTATCCTTTGACTGGGACTCCCCCGAACTCGCGAGGGTTACTACCGCTTGAAGGGCGGCTGTGACTGCGCTATTAACCGTGCTATTGCTTACGGACCTTACTGCGATGCCGTCTGGATGGAGAGCAAGCTGCCCGACTTTGCTCAGGCCAAGGAGTTTGCCGATGGTGTTCACGCCGTCTGGCCCGAATTGAAGTAAGCCCCTGAAATCCCCTGAATACAAGGGAAACCCCGTTCACTAACAAATCCCTCTTTTCTAGGCTCGCTTACAACCTCTCCCCCTCATTCAACTGGAAGACCGCCATGCCCCGCACCGAGCAGGAGACCTACATCCGCCGTCTCGCCAGCCTCGGCTACTGCTGGCAATTCATCACCCTCGCGGGCCTGCACACCACCGCCCTCATCAGCGACCAGTTCGCCAAGGCCTACTCCCTGCAGGGCATGCGCGCCTACGGTGAGCTCGTCCAGGAGCCCGAGATGGAGACGGGCGTGGACGTGGTGAAGCACCAGAAGTGGAGTGGAGCCACCTACGTCGATGAGCTGCAGAAGATGGTCACCGGTGGTGTGAGCTCGACGGCTGCCATGGGTAAGGGTGTGACAGAAGATCAGTTCCACTAAACTGTTTTCTTCTTCATTTCGCTTTTTCTTGGAAGAAAATCTGTAAGAGAAGGAGGGGGGTGGTTGGTATATATAAATGTCTTTTTGCCAAGGACAGGGTTAAAAAGTTGGCTCCCCCTTTTTTTTTGTATAATTTACGCATGATACGTATATCTTTTGTCACGATACAGCATTTAGATAGGAAGACTGAAATATTGTTAACATTTTATTTTATTTTAAAACAATAAATCTTTGCCATCCAAATCATGTGAGAAATCGCAAGGTAATACGAATACTTGTTCATGAGATTTGGTATATAGATCGAATCAAAAGTCGACTTCTTTCCTTCCTCCCTCATCGGAAAGCATAGCTAATGCAGCAAAACCCCCCTTATTCTAGTAACCCTTTGCGCCAAAAGCCCTGAACATGGCCATGTTGCCCTGTCCATCAGCAGCCGATTCCATATATGCCGACTCCATCGTTGGAATTAATACAATCCATCCCCCAAGTTTGACAAAAAAAAAAAGGAAATATGGAACAAATTTGTGTTTTTTTCTCTCTTTCTCTCTTTATTTTTACTACCAGTTCCCGCTCTCATCACTCAAATAAATATCCCGGGGTGGGCACTCTCAGTCAGCTTCTGCCAACTGCATAATCAATTTCGCCGCCCTGTCCAGGAACGGGAATGGGCTCGTCACCTCCTTTTCCTCTAGGAGTCGTCCCTCGGAGGTCTCGTAACCAGAGCACTTAAAGTCGACCAGGTATACGCCCTGTTCCATTTCGTAGATCTGAATGTCCATATGTAATGCGACGAAATCCTTCTTGGAGTTCCCCGGCGAGAATACGTGGAAACTGTCGGGTGTTCCCGTGCTGTCTTCGGCTTCAGGGCTACTCTGTGCACTCCTTTGGATATCTGTATATTGATATTAGCTTTCATATTCCCGGCATGGCTCAAAATATCACAGAAAACCTACCTGTTGATGGCCATCTGACCTGAATATGCCATGGATCAGCCGGCAGCTTATACCTCTTAGTAGGGTCTGTTGAATGGCTGCTTGACTCGCGATCTAGCGGAGCACCACCATCAAAGCCTTCTGCAAAGCTGCCGTTGCCGCTAGCAGCCTCATCACCCTTGCCATGCACTTGTGCATAGTCCTCATCAGGAACATACGTTGCGCCAAGCTTATGTAGCGCCTTGTGGATGCAGAGGAGGGCTTCCCAAGGTGCGTTACGGGATCGAATACCGAATTGCCAACGGACCGGCTTTGGCTTCTTGGGTGGATTGATTGGTGTCATCCCTTGAGGGCGTTTGGTCGCGTCGTCCATGCGAAGTTGGGATCGTGCGTGGGGATTTAGGCGTCGCGCCAACTCTTCCTTCTCGGCGTCTGTTCGAGAGGCTGGGAATTCATCAACGTTGGTAAGAGGCCCAATGTCATGATCGCCGCCATTCTTCTCTCTTTCCATATAGTCTTTATGGTAGGCTGGCAGACTGCTCGGCAGAATACCAACCTTGTTAACATAGGGACGCGGTGCGGTGCCTCCAGGGGAGATGGCCGATCGTGCCGAGGATAGGCTCACAATCGGGCTATCTTCTCCTTCCATACCCCCTCAGGATTATCTATAATCTGTTTAGTGGCGTTGAAGATAAGGAGAAGAAATGGTCCAACTCACTATTGACTTCCATAAGCTTGTTCTCTCTGACAATCATGTAGGCATCCTTGATAGCGGATGGCTCTTCTGATTGCAGAGCTTCCTCGACATCAGTCTTACCATAACCCATGGTCTTACTAATCTTCTCCGTTACTTCATTGTGCAGTTTCTCCTGGACTTTCTCGGGGGCATTTGGCGCAATGTCGCTCTTCTTGATGGCTTTATTGGGGTCGACTCCGGTGTGGAAGAATTCCTCCACAGGAGGTGCTAGGTAGGCCGGCAGGTCAATGTTGAACCAGGTGTCTTGGCGAATTTCCTCAATTGTGACACGTTGAACCGGATTCACCACCAGCATCCTCTTGATCAGACTCGCAGCTCCAGAAGGCATCCACTGCGGTATGCTATATGTTCCTCGAGCAATCTTTGCAAAGAGACTTGGGATGTGTTCGTCGTCAAAGGGTAGTCGCCCGACTAGAAGAACATAGAGAATAACACCGCAGCTCCATACATCCACCTCGGATCCAGCATAGAGCTTTCCGCCAATAACCTCGGGCGCAGCATAGTTGGGACTACCGCAGCTCGTCTTGAGAAAGTTGCCGTCTGTCATGATGTTGCTTAGACCAAAATCGGCGATCTTGACATTTAGGTTTTCGTCAAGCAGTAAATTTTCCGGCTTGAGATCTCGGTGGACAATCTTGTGGCGATGGCAATATTCGACGGCGCATATCATCTGCTGGAAAAAACGACGGGCTTCGGATTCCTTCATTCGGCCATTTTGGACAATGTAGTCAAACAGTTCGCCGCCTGCATATTCGAGGACCATGATAATCTCGGCCGGGGTCTTGATGACGGTGTACCTGTGTAAATGAGGTGTTAGTCAGAGTCAGACTGAGGCAATCGTGACAAGCATGGTAGACGTTGAGCATACAATTTGATGATGTGTGGGTGACGCAGTAGTTGAAGATATTCAATCTCTCGCTCGACTCGACCAGCCATGTCGCGACTGATGAGCTTCTTCCTCGCAATAATCTTGAGAGCAACCTGCTGGCCTGTGCCATTGTGAACAGCCAGTCTGACTTTGCCGAACGAACCCTCTCCCAGCGTCCGGATGATTTTGTATGCGCCTATGCGCTGCTCTGCCTTTGACTTTTCCCTCTGCTGCGGTGGGGGATCACCGGCATTGACCCGGATTATCGGTCTGGGCGATCTCGGGACCTCTTGTGGGCGTCGAACATGTGTCGACGACATGGAGATGGTGAGCTCCTCGTCCTCGAAGCCTCGAGGAGCCATGGCAGGCGGTTTGTAGACGCTTGTCGTTGTCTTTCAAGTCAGGGTCTCGTTGGGATCGTGTCTATCAATGCCGAACGGGGAGAGAGTGGATTTTTGTTTCGTGTGGACGGACAGACGGGACGAGCGGACGGTGGGAGGAACTGACAAGGCCAAAGGCGGACATGGAATGGAATGGGTTGGAGTGGACGGGTTGGAGTGGATGGGTTGGAGTGGAGGGAATGACGGACGGTCCAAGTAGTCCCAGTTTTAGCCCAGGCGAAGGCCAAGACGATGGAGGGGTAACGTCACTACCAAGTGCGGTAAAAAGCAGTAACCGCCAGTGGACTGAACGCGTTGAGTTGCCCCGCAGTTCAGTTCTAGTGCAAAAGTTATAGCGCCAAAGCTTGTAATTTACAGGGCACTCAAGCGATGCATCATGACACTATTTTGAGGTCATTTCCTTGCAACCTCGATAAAATAGAGAGTGTCGATTATCAATGGCTTGTCTTGTTTTGTCTTTATTTCTCATACGTAGACTACATGTATACACACGAAGGCTGTCGTAATTGACATGATATTTCAGTGTCTTACCTGGGATAATGCTTGGCCATCGGAATCACATGTTTAATCGCAGGATGTAGGACATGGCACACTCTTTTGTCTTGGACCCTGACTTTTCACTCATTGGATCCATCACCATGCACCATGACCATGGATGGCCTTATCTCATATCTAGTTCCATCTAAAAATAAAGAAGACATCTTGTTACTATTCAATTGCTTTATTCCTTTCGTTATTTCATGCGCAAGAGATATTTGCTTACACTAGTATCCGTTACCATGACCACCTCATCAATACCCAATAATCAAATTGCTAAAATACTGGGTAGTATGCGCTGAGACAAACGAAAACTAACTACAAGCAACATGTGAGGACCCTGAAATGCAGCCTTATTCTCAGTCAGGCGATGCCTCATCGCCACCGCTTAGGCAACTTGTATCAATCCGGCTAGAAAACCATCATGTTGGTATGCTTTCCTGCAAGTAAAATGGCTGCATGACAGCATCGATTTTATATTTTACTTTCCCGCTATATTCATTTATTACCAATTTCTCTTTGTCTTTTGCGATGTTTGCAAATATCAGGAGGATGGTGACGGCATGTTAATATGTAGAGCCTTAGTGGTTGGCCAAATAAAAGGCAAAAAACAAGGTCCCTGTGTGGATCGAACACACGACCTAGAGATAGCTGCAGAGCTGCAATCTCTCGCTCTACCGCTGAGCTAAAGGACCTTACGTAAGTAAGGCTGGGCTCCGGTGGCCGGCAACTTGAAATTAGACTCTATATATCTTAGTGAGGCGATGAGCTCTCAAGCCTCTTCTCGGCTACCTTGAGCTTCACGGTGGCGGGCGCTGATCCGAGCCGAAGTTGGCTACTCTTCAAACCCTCTAAAATACATGTCAACATAATCCCATCCTGTTAGGAGTATAACCATCTCACAGCATCTATTTTTTTATCATACCATTTTATGAATCAGTCACAGTCTTCTAGCTACTCAGTCGTCCGCCGCACAAAAGGTGGGCAACGAACGACATTACAACGCGGGCTACCCGTTCGGAACATTGTCCGACTTGGCGGATCGCATCTTGAAAGAGATTGTGCCATAGAATACTTGGAGTGTAACCGCCTGCACCCGTTGTATCACATCACCGCTACCGCATGTGTGCCAAATTTCGTTTGTCATAAACTATGAGCGAGCTTGGTGATGATGCAGCTTCGCGCAACAGCCTTGCTTGCCAGAATTGTAGACAGAGAAAAAGAAAAGTATGAGAAGTCAAATCCTGATAATCCCATGAACTTCAACATCTAACAGCCTGTAGTGTGATCGGCAGGTTCCTCGCTGCGGGCTTTGTGTGAGGCGAGGACTCGAATGTGTCATGTCTGTTGCCAAAAATGCCGAGGGCCAGGAAGGGTCAGCATAACATCCTGCTGATATGGGTAATCATGAAACGCTAAATATATCACCAGTATCATTGAAGGCCTCGAAAGGGAGGTTGCCCGCCTAGAAGCTCAGGTATCTCAGATCCAATCTGGTGGAGTGGTTCGGGTCTCCCCTGATTTGAGATCCGAGACTCAAACGCACGCCGCGCATGGAAGCATCTCAAGTCTCTCAGCCAGAGAAGAATCCCCTGAAACTGTTGATCTCAATGTTCTCAAGGAGGTGGAAACAGTATCGCTGTACCGCGGCGAGCTCTATGGGTTGGAGAAAATGACCCGCAGGGCACTTCAGCTCGACAACAGCGATCCCCGTGGCTTTCTCAACTATGAATCTCGAAAGAGCCTTATCTCGTCGTCTAAAAACTCAAGAAACTCGAGACATAACGGCAACGAATCAAGTCTGGAAAAGGAGACAACCACTCGCTATGCCGATAACTTCTTCTCTCACATACACCCGACATTCCCTGTCCTAGATGAACCCAAAATCCGGCATGTCTTAAATCTCATGTTGGAAAATCGAATCCCTGGCACAGAGGAACAGATTATGGCATATCTTGTCCTTGCGATGGGTGCTGTTCTTCCTTCTCAATCTTCAGTTTTGGACACTGTCAATTCTGCAGAGTATTTTCTCCGCGCCGCCGAAGTGCAATTCTCATACGACGAGTCATTAAAAACGGCGCAAATTTTAATACTATTTACAATTTATTCTCTATTTGATCCAACCACCGGCAGCTCATGGCAGCTTATCGATCTTGTGATGCAGGTCTGCATTGTTCTTGGCCTTCATCACCTACAAGTTGGCGCTGGAGGCGAAAAGGAAGAGGCAGAAGGTGTGAGGATATTTAAAGCCGCATACACACTAGATTTGTAAGTATCGTCTCTCGTATTTCAGAATATGGAAACGAATATGCTAATTGGGGTGGACCATAGTTTCATTAGCTCTGCAATGGGCTTGCCCATGAGCACACCAAATACTGATATAACGTTTAAGTGCAGAGCCCATTCATTTGATGCATCGCAAACGCTCACGTCCGAGATTATGGATAATATCCTAACACCACTAGGAATATATTCTTGGGCATACGAGCTCTCTGAAAGTCCGGGTAATACTGCCGCTGCCTTCCTCCGTGCTTATGATGCCTACGTTCTGCACGACAAGAGTGGAAGGGATGATAGGACCCGGAAATTTATGCCTTCACTACTGGGCTTTCACTTGGCAATTCAAAGCCTGAGAAGATTAGCCCCTAATGAGGCTATAACTACAAGCCGGAACGGATTGCTCATTGACCATTGGCAGTCAATTCCGAAAACAATGCCATCCCTGCTCATGCTGCCCTGGATCGCTGGTTACAGTGCCTTCCAAGCTGCTCTCCTTCAAATGACACTCTGCGGACGAATACCCGAGAAGCAGCCTAGACTTACGCAATCGCTTTCACAATCTAATCTGATATTATCCGTGGTTTCTTCCAAGTTCAAGGGGCTGTCACCTCACGCCGAGTTTGGGAGCTCAGTCCTTATAGAAATCATGTCCCCTGCGGAGGGGATCCGACTGGATATCGATTTCTTGGAAGGAAGCGACCTATATCAGTTCTGTGCAGAGGCCTTGAACTCCGTGGGCATCGGTATTGACTAAGCATGATGTGGTGAGCAGGCTGTGTTACACATTTTGCACAACCAGCGCTGTCTGTACCTCCCCGCTTCAATATCCACGGACACGTATCGTTTATCCAATCCGTACCCTAGTCCCCCCATTATCCTCACCGGAATAATTCATTAGGCTTATGTTGTCGACTTCGGTTTAATGCAACGAGTCACCTAGTTGCCAACTAGGGGAGTTTCCGACACCTCCTGACTGTACTTACAGGGATATTTCATCAATTATCAATCAAAATACCTGGAAGAAGAAATTACTGTACAGTTTTATCCTACTCGGATTGCTCCCCGCTGTTGAGAGCACTTCGGATGTCAGTCCGCAGAGGGCGGCACCCAGTCCGGCAAGACGTAATACGGTCAATACGTAGAGGGTTTTTATGATAGAACAATGAATAATAAGACAAAGACTAGAAGGTTTTTTGGTATATGTATCAATCAAGATATTTTGAACTACAAGAAGAGTTGGATATGCATCGGCATCAAATTCTTCACCACATTAATCACCATGGCCTCTCAGAGTGTTGAGAATTACAAGACAAATGACGAACATCTAGCCTACTCCGTTCCGGAGGAAACAGCAAGAGTGTTTAGAGATGGAATACTATTAAACCCCCTCATATCAAAAGACTTACCACCGGAGGTGACGGCCCAAGACGAGAGTACAATTCGCTTCACTGGCTCGGATATCCCATCGCTTCCTGTCAACTGGAAATATGCCGAAGCTGTATCCTCTTTAAAGGGACTGGAAGCATCAATAGTCAATGCTCTTCTCCAGCGCCGCTACGGAATTAAACCGCAGTCAGTCACTATCAAAACGGATCATGCCGCTCTTTTCCTCTTCTCAGCCATGCTCTGGACTATCGATCCAGGGGAGGGTGGGGAGAATATTAAAGCGGATAACTTGAGACAAGCAAACGAGGCATTGTTCAAATACCTTCCGAGCTATGATAAACATGGAATGAGTTCTTCAATTCATCGCAGTTTGGCGACGAATATTTATCGTTGTGAGGACGGTCGGTTCTTTCACTCCCACGCTTCGCTCGACCCTATGACAACACTCAAGAATATCGACCTTGAACCCGATATGACGGCCGCAAGTTATGAAGAGGGTCTGAAGCCTTTCTTCAAAGCGTTTGGCACTCTCACTAGCGAAGAGATGCAACACCGAACAGATGAATCGAAGCAAGCCGGGACAATTTGCTACACGGTAGACGAGTTTTTGCAGTCCGAACATGGTCAAGCAAACCAACATGTCGGTCTGTGGGAGATACATGATATGCAAAATCCGAAACAATCGCCTTCTTGGTGGCCCTTGGCTTCGTCGCAGGCAGGCCCCTCTCGACCACTCGCCGGGCTCAAAGTCGTCGATTTGACACGCATAATTGCAGGCCCATGTATAACCCGTAGTCTAGCTGAGCTCGGTGCCAGCGTAATGCGGTGCACAGCTGCTCATTTGCCAGATATCTGCGCTCTCCATGCGGACTTGAATTGGGGAAAATGGAATTGTCACATTGACCTTCGAAGCACCGAAGGACAGGAGAAGCTAAGAGCTCTAATTCAAGATGCCGACGTTGTGGTACAGGGATATCGACCTGGAGCCTTGGACAAATATGGTTTCGGTCAGGATGATATACTCAAGTTGTGTGAGAACCGTGAGAGGGGCATCATCTACGTGCGAGAGAACTCTTATGGATGGCATGGGCCGTGGAAGGATAGAAGTGGATGGCAGCAGATTGCCGATGCAGTAAGTCATCCTAAACTTTCAACAATCACAACTGCATCTTCTGACATACGCAGAATACTGGACTCAGTCACTCATTTGGACAAGCTATGGGCCACGGTGAACCAGTCACGCCAATCTTCCCCCACAGCGACTACTGTACCGGTATAGCAGGCTCATGCGCCATCCTACTCGCCCTCCTACGCCGTGCCGAGAAAGGAGGCTCATACTGCATTGACCTGGCATTGAACTATTATAGCACTTGGCTCATCAAGTCCGTGGGGACGTATCCGGACGAAGTCTTTGACCACATGTGGGCCGAGAATGGCAGACCGATATATCACCACTGGCACAACAACGGCGTGACGCTGCCCGAAACACTTTGGCGTCTCCGAAACGGACCTGGCGGCAAGAGGCTCTTTAATCCCGAGTTCTTTGAGGATCGAAGCGCGCCCGGTATACTAGGAGAAAAGAAGATTCGATGCGTGAAACCAGTGGCCGAGTGGGAAGGGGTTGTGAAGCTTGGGTTCAACGTTGGGACAAGGGGCAATGGGGTTGATGCACCATGTTGGCCAGATGATTTGTCGCAGGAGTGTATACCGTGAATCTATCATCAACCCATGCTTATGAATTAGCTGCAACAAACAAAAAGATGAAGAGAGGAGGATAGAGCAGGAAAAAGAATGCATCGGCCGGGAATCGAACCCGGGGCCCATCGATGGCAACGATGGATTTTACCACTAAACCACCGATGCTATTCAACTTGTGATGGAGGTGGAGCAGCGAGTAATGGTAGATATGCTCTACCGTTTCAGAACGCCCGGACGGCTGGTTTAGGATATTGTCACCTTCTCTGCGTACGCTAAAAATGCAGTGTTATTTGACGAACGTTCTCTGGACACAAGTGACCATGTCCTTTTA